CCTCCTCATCCTCCTTCTCAGCTGGCTGGAGATGGTATTATTGCAAATCCCACCCAAACAGCTTCCAAAATTGTAACAGGTGAGTGGATTCTTTCATGTTCAGTGCCACCTCACGGAGCAGAAATGTAGGAAACGATGCCTGTAGCTGCAAATCTCAGGGGGAGGGACTGAGAGGCACAAGTAACAGTTAAAATACTAAATTACTCATTTCTAGTTAAAATGCCCACCACCCATTCTGTGCAGAAGGGTTTGGGGGGGAAGTGTAGATCAGCTTGCTTTATTTTCCTTCCTGCTTTGGAAGCAGAGCACTATTATAGCAACAGGCTCTCTGGGGCTTTCTCCAGGCTCAGCATCGTGGCAGGCTCAACTATGCTTATACAGCTGTTGCCAAAAAGCAAATATTTGGAGGAGGGAGAGGATGTAGCCAAGGATACACAAGGATAGCACATACAGGAGATAGGAAAATGGCTCAAGTGGTCACTGATACACGTTCTAATAGACAAGATATAACGCAGCACCCCTTTGTGAGGACAAAGTCTTCTGGTGGGCTTTAAGCTGGACATCCAGAAGCCGAGGAATCACATACACTGAATTCTGGGTCTTGGGTTAATTTGTAGATTGACCTTCATATTTTAAATGCAGCCTTCTTTTGGTGAGACATTCACAAAGAGAAACTCCTACTCACAGGAGCTTCATGAAGCTTTTAGTTACTGGTTTGGTAGGGTTAATGTTAATTTAAGTCTTGGTGGGGAAAGAAGTAGCTACTGAGGACAGTTAAAAGTAGATCTCATATTCTGCTGAGTCTCTGCTTATTATAGGAATTACTAAAGGAAGAGATGATAAATGTAGGAGACTAATGCTTTTAAATCACCTTACATTTAATAATGGTTTAAACTTTCCAATGGCCCTGCAGCTTCTCTAGACTAGGACTAATGTATTGGAATGCCAAGTATGAATTCTGTTGCCTAACAGCTTTACCCCCTGATGCCTTCACAGGTGGGGCTGGTTACTGCGAATAAGGTTTGTACTTACAGAACCATGCAATACAAGCTCAAATGCTCCTGCACAGCAATACTTTTCTTTGTAGCTTTATTTTGTATATGTGCTTTGGAATATGTGCTGTCAACTGTGTGTTACCTCATTACTACATACCATTCTGTTCAGAAGGGATTTTAAGACCTGAGCTGCTTGATTTTAATAGTACTGTGAACATAAAGGTAGTCCTTAAGTTGTGAAAATATCTATAATGAAGGGAGTAACAGTTCACACAGGAAGTACGTGTCCACAAGTGAAGCAGTGACCTTTTAAAACAGCTTTATTCTCATCAGTGCAGGCAAATACCAAAGCTGATGGGTTTTTCTCCAATCGAGTGGTTTATGATTGCAGTTTAAGGTAGTTTTTACTTCAGGTTTTCAGCTATTTGGAACTACTTGGAATTTATTTGGCAAAACACATGTTCTTGTGAATAAACCCCTTTGCAGAAGAGCACTCAGCAGCATCTGCCTTCTGGCATGTGTGCATCCTGTCAGCTCCAGCCTCACTAATAGCACCAGTCTGCTCAGTCACAGCTGCCAAACAGCACATTAATAATCTTCCTACTCATTTGTAACGGGTTAGAGATGGTGCCTTTCTAAAGTACCAGCTGCATGACAGGCTCAGAGAGTTGAGGCTGCACTCCTGAGTTATCTCAGGATTTGAGTGCTTACAGGAAGGACACAAATTAGGATTGAGAGTCAAGTTGAAAGTAGTTTTGGATTTGGAGAAGCTGGCAGTAAGTTTGCTGCTTGAGCAACTGAAAAGCAGGTTTGCTGTTTAAAATAGATCTTATCCTGATTGAAGTTCTTTTGTCAGTGTCTTTAAAACGCAGTTTGTGGGCAATTTATTGCCCAGCTGAATTCAGCAATAAGGCTGGGCTCTGGCTCTTTACAGCACTGGGAACTGTGCTGATGAGTCAAACTTCAAGGAAAGGACCTTAATTTCTAAGTCACGTTTCCTGGGTTGACAGCATCAGGGAATTTGTCTGGCTGAGGAATTTGCTTTAATGCCAGCAGATGAGCAGGGTTTGGTTCCCCCAGTGTAAACGGAGAAACAGCTGCCTTCAGACCAACACCCAGCTGGTGTGCTGGAGGAGTTTAAGTTCTACAAGGGCAGGATCTGCTAGGCGGGAGTGATGGGCACAACTGAGGCTGTGTCCAGAGCTGGGATGTAGCCCTGACTCCCTTTCAGCTGAGCTACAGGTCAAAAAGAGGCACACAACTGGGTGCATATAGAAAAATACTGACATCAACAGTGTTGAAATTAACCAGTGCTAAAACTGGAAAGACTTCCTATCACTCCTTTGAAGTGCAACCATGGCAAGTTGGCCATGAAGTTGTGTTCAGTAAAATGACAGCAATGACAGCTGCTGTGCACAGGAGAGATGCTGACAAAGGATCCTCTAGCAAAGCTGATAGAGGAGCCTAGGAAATCAAGTGCTTTGCAAAATAACCCCTTGGGGAGCAGCTGAAGTGATACCAGGCTCCCCTACAGCAGCACACTAGTGCAGGATCAACACCTTTTCCAGATGGATCACCTTTTAAAGGATTAATATTTGTTCTGAATTAACACCACTGCATATTACATGAGTAGCTGCTCTAACATTTACACATGCACATACCAGCACTTACTATAGACTGACTTACCTAATTCACAATGACAATTAGCTGGGTTTAATTCTAACCTTGAAAAAGATGGGAATAATGGAAGCCAAAATCAAGTTGCCAGAAGTACCTGAACGGGAATTCTGCATGGTTTTCAGGATACTGTTGAATTCCTTTGTCCACATGCTGGACTTTAATAATGCCTCAGGTTCTATTTATGGTGTTAAAGTGCTAAGGCCTAGAGAAGAATATTCTAATCAAAAGTTTTATTAAATAATCTAGATGTTTGACCTGCATTCAGTAGGAACTGTATTGGAAAATTAAATGGTAAGGAAAAGGCATATGATTGGCCCCAAATGTTGCTAATTCACAATCATCACGTGTGTGCTCACGCTCACTACTAACCCGTCCCCAGTAACACTGCTTGCTTGCATTACCGTTAGCGTGGCATGCACCAGGAATGGCTGTTTGATGCTCACTCTTACATTAACGTACTAAAAGTGTTGGAGACTACAATGTTCACGTTGTCACTGGCCAGTTTCACATTGTATTTATTCTGTGTACAGGAAATCCTATCTAGAAATCCATGTTTATGGAGAGGTTCATTTTGTATTTGACAGCTACGCTGTTGTGTCAAATCCCCTCCCCTGGGTCTCCTCACCCTTTGTTACCTACTCTTCTGATTCATTCTTCAGTCGTGGTGGGGAGAACTTTAATACCTGCACATAAAGCTGGAGTACACCTTTTGAATGGTACTTTTAAGTGAAAATCCAAGGTAACCCCCGGTGCTGTTAGGTGTTAGAACACAGTGCCTCTCCCTCCCCTCAGAAGAGGCAAAGATGTTCCCTGTTACACACAGGAAAGGGGTTTAAGTAATTTCTTCCTCCTGTTGTGGCAGTGCCTCCTTTTGACACCACGCATATTGCTGTTCCTTCTCAAGGTGGTAGGTGGTGGTGATGTGGCTGAGGATTTGGGTGCCAAATTTATTTGCTGAGGGACCTTAGTGTTTTGATGTGGAAGTCTGGAGTAAGGTATCACTCATAGGGGGCATGGAGGAATCTGATCCTAAATCCTACTCACTGCCTTCCACTCTTCAGAATGAATCTCTTACTATGTACCGGAGTAAAAAAGGTGTGTAGGAGAAGCAAGTCCTGAGCTTTTGAGTTTAGCTTTACCTTTCTGTGTCCATGTGTGCACACATGTGCCAGCCCTCTGTTTGAAAAGCCTTTGTTGATCTTTCCTTTCCCTTTTCTCCCTAAGGAAATGCCCCAGCAATGCAGCAGTGACAAGAGGTCACTGGCCAGCCTGCTAAACTTGCTCTTGGTTTTTTGTGCAGACTCTAATCCCAGTACCCAAGAACCACTTCAACCCCCTCCTTCAGAGCCTCTCCCGGAGACGGCGAGCAAAGAGCTGCACAACCACCTCGTGCTCGATATTGACAATGATACAGAAAGCACCGCTCTGTAGCGGAAGCTCCCCGAGTCCTCGCAGGTTCCTCTCCTGGTGGGAAAACCCAACGGTGAAAAGCTTCTTTTGACGCTGTGGCAGGACTGTGTAGAGCTGGGATGGGGATTTAGCCAGTCAGAAGAAGTGTAATGATCTGTGTCTCAACAGTGGTTTTCAGAATCCTGCATGGAAGGAACCAGTTACTGCAGAAACGTGCATAGGAAGCGTAATTGCTGCTGATACAGGTGGTATTGGCAGAGATTCCAGAAGCAGCAGAACATTAGTTATTTAAAGTGCATGTATTACGGAAATAATCTTTTTAATGTCACCGTTAGGCTTTTATTCCTAGTTCTTAGCCATTACAAGGAGCTGCCTTGCAAGAGACATTCCCTCACTGATTTGCTGCAGATTCTTTTTAAACCATGAACCAAAAAAAGCCAGAGTGCTGGTGGCGACCGCGGGTTATCGGTCGCCTGGTCAAAACTGTGGACGTACTTTAGTGCCTTGAAGGACTGTCATACTGTAGAAGGAAACTCACTGTATCTTTAATCATTTCATTGCTACTTAACAATCAGTACTTACTACTTACATCATAGTTACTTGTATTAACCAAGCCTGCTTTTGTTTATGTGAAACTCGCAACTGTTTCAGGATGCAGCTGTGGAAGTGGGGTTTGTGCTTTCCTTGGAAACGGTTGGATTCGGAGAGACCTTTGAAAATGGCTCTTTGGGTTCCTCACTGGGTGAACATTTATAAAATTAAAGGTTGTCTTTTGTCAACGTGAAGGCATCTTTATTCATGCTTGTGAGTAACGTGGCTTCCAGTGGACATGGACGGTGACACAGTCACTCCCTGGGCTTTGCAGCTCACCAGGTCTTGTTCTTCTGAGGACTGGCATGGAAGCATACCAGGAACTGGGAATGAATATGCATGTACTCTTTAATGTGTAGATTCATGTTAAACAAAAGTGAGTCCAGCTGCAGAGGGGAACACTGGATACAGCCTGTATCACGTGGAGAGATAAGATGGAACAGGCCACACTGTTTCTGTGAATAAGAGGGAGAGGAAACCAGTCAGTTGAGGTAACATTCTACAACTACTTGAATTAATCTACTTAACCTGTAAGTTCCTTAATGTTCCATCATACATCTTATTGAAAATATTAATCTAGACCTCAGGCTTAACTGCATTTCATACAAGCCTCGACAAGACACATTGCTGTTACTGTCTTCTTGATGCCTCTGTTTGAATCTTGGTGGCTGCCCCATTGATCCCTGTTCAGACAGCTCGTAAGAGGGAAGATGAGCCCTGCTACTGACTGCAGACCGGCTTTCCTGTGTCACTGCACCAGCATGGTACCAAGTTCTTGTAACTCAGAATTCAGTGTTAGGAGCCACAGTTTCTAGTTCTGTGGCTAAATTTGATGCTGATCCCAAACTGCCCCCAGGGTACCTGAGTCCAGGGTGGGTTGTGAAGGACCTAAGTAAGTTCTCAGAAACTCTTCAGGACTGGTGCACTCCTCTGCTTTACACAAGTAGTTAATTGTCTCTGCTGGGATCAGCAGCTCCCGTTCAACAGTGGGTATGCTCTCAGTCGCATCCTCGCTGTCATCCTTGGTACCAAACAGCACATTCCATGCAGTTACAATAACAGCACAGGGCTATGATGCAGTTGAAGTTGAGGATATTTGCTCAAAGCACCAGGGCTGGAGTTACTCCCCATTTACCAAACACAGCTCAGTCTTCTGGTCCTAGGAGTGCCCAGCAGGAAGCAGGGGTAGAGACAATGCTAGGTAATGCTGAGTGAATGACTTTGACTTGGCTGTGTTGGAGCAATTCATTAGTGAATCAAATGGCTGCATGAAATAACCCCCCAGAGGTCTAGAAAGAAACTTGGGATAACACAGTGAGGTTCTGTAATGCTTTAACACTGCTGCTCCAGTCTGCTCAGGTGTGTGTGCTTGTAAATGCTGCTTGAAAGGCGAGTGGGGCTGCTTGTTTGTGTGGTTTGGGGGGATTTGGGACTGAATTAGGTGGCTTTCTTACAGCTCAGTTAATGGAAGCTTACCTCAAAGCTCTGGATGGAGGCTGCCAGCTTGAGCCCGAGGGTAAGGCACCCTGCAACCACCTCTGCTGTCGACTGTGACTGGGTGGTCCTCGATGGCCATGTCACGGGAGATGTCGCCAGTGCCACTACCCAGTCTGGGAACAGTCTGGTGGGGATGGCATGTGCCACCACTAAAACTTTAATATCCTGGAGTAAAGCACTGCATGGGAAGAGAGTGAATTCCATCCGAAAGCACAGCACGGCGTTCTTATCAGCCGGTCAGGTTCCATAAACTAAGCACTGAGTTGTTGTTTGCATTCCTAGGGCTGTGCTGGGGGATGGTACATGCAGAGCATGGTGCACGCTTCCCACCCACCCAGCCAGCAGAAACCTTTCCTGACTCCTCCAGAGGGCTTGAGTGGATGCGAGGGGAAGAAATGAGCATAAAAGCAGTAGGGATTTAATAAGCAAATGCAGGAACATGACAGTAGTTTGTTCCAATAGGAATTCCATTCACAGCAGAGGAAAAGATGCAGTTTTCATGAACCTGGATTTTGGGCAATTAACACAGGGCCCTGGAGCAACAAAGCTAAAGGCAAGAATCGGCTGAGCTCTGGGGGAGTGGTTCGGTCCTGTTGTGAAAGGGCAAATAGCAGGCTGGAGGGCAGTGACTAATCGTCTAAAGATAATTTCTGGCATTCCAGTACATAAATCTACAACTGTTTACAAAGCAGGGTCCAGAAATGGCAGTGATTCCCAAGAAAGGAATTTTCCTGGGTTCTGAAGGCTATTAATGAAGTCCTGGTGCCTCAGAGATGGGCTCTAGCGCAAGAGGGCTGAGCAGGAGCCTGCTGGCAGCCCCTCAGCTGCATCCAGGAAAGCATGGGAGGACCTCGGCTCCTCTGTGGTCAGCAGGTATTCAGTGGGAGAAGAAAAGCTTGAAACAACCATCGCTGACGTCCAGCTGACCCTTAAAGAGGGCTTCTCCCGCTTCCGGTACTACAGTACTGTGAAACGCTTACCTTGAACCTTGACTTTGGAGGGACGCTAAATCTTGGATGATGAGATGGATTGTGCTGCTGCAGCCCTGCAAAGGAATTGCCCATTGCAAACTCACTGTGCATATAAAACAATTCATCATCCACCTTACGTAGGCTTTCCCTTTCAGTCACAGGCGCTGGGGGCAGAGCAGGTTATTCCTGTTGTGACAGAACATGGCATCTCATTCCATCAGGATAATGTTCTGGGCCAGTTACCTGAATCCCAAAGGTGGGATGGATCCCTGAGACACCCCCATCATTAGTCAGCTCTTTAAGCCTATGTATGGAGTCAGAGATGGGTTAGTTAGTAAGAGCTGTAGTTCCCTGGATCTAGAAGCTAAACATGTACAAAGATGCATCAAGGTTACCTGGTCGCACAGGGAATCCATGTAACTTACCTCCACTACATGGAACACATGGCTGGGGTAGAGAAGCAGCAGACCTGAGACTGGTTCTCCTCCGTGGTCCTCTAACACGTTTTCAAGCAGTTCTCTGTGATAACCTTGTTTTAAAGGAGAAGATGGCTGTTTGTCAAGTGGTTTATGGCCCTAGGTCAGCGTTAGTGCTGCGTGCTCTGTTCTGTGCGTTCGCAGATCATGCTTTTATTATGCAGGAGGGGCACCAAATCATAGAGACACGGAAGCATTGCTGCCATGGGACCCTCTTCTTGACGTAAGCACGCTGCAATTCACATTAGCTCCTAAAAGTACGCCCAAACCTGCAATGTTTCAGCAGCTGCAGCCTAAAATCCCCATTACAGGTGTCCTTTCATCGTTATCGCTGCAGCTGCAGCGCATGCAGGCCCCAAAGGTGACGTGGAAGCCGGGTCTGTGCGGCTGAGTCCTTCCCTCTGTTCACTGGCACTCACTGGTACAGGTGTTTAAAATCACCTTAATGAGCCTCCCGAATCAGATAAAGCACTGGGCACCCATGGGCTCATACAGATCACTGCTTGCAAGATAGCATCAGGCTTTGTTCATAAAGCCTGTGTGCGCCCCAGGGTTTCTCACAGCTGTGTTTCCTCTGCCAAGGCAGGGTTCCCAAGTGGCAATTCCCTTTACGTGGTGTCAGAACCCGGTATTTTCTTGCCTTATGGACTGCCGCAGTGACTGCGCTCCCCGCTGCTCCGTACCGCCGCTGGGGTACGGGCTGCGGGCGCAGCGCGGCAGGGGTGATCCTGGCCACAAGCCCGCAGCGCTGAACGCGTTCCAAGACACGGCGGTGAACGCCGGACGGGAGGTGCGGGCCGGGGCCCTGCCCTGGAGCCGTGCTCCGACCCCCGCACCCCGGCACCCACCTGCGACCACCGCCGCCGCCGCCGCCCCCTGGCCCAGGCGGGCGAGCACCAGGAGCCTGTGGAGCGGGACCCGGCCCTGCGCGGAGCGGAGCGCAGGGGAGCGGGGTCCGGTTCGCACCGCGCCGCCGCCCCCCCCCGGGGCAGCCCCGGCCCCGCCGCGCCCCCACCTCCGCGGCGCCGGCCCGCAGCTCCCTGCGCACGGCCAGCAGGTTCTGCCGCTCCAGCGGAGCCGGCTCCGCAGAGCCCGGCCGGGGCTGAGCCGCTGCCTCCTCCGCCATGGCCGCGCCCCGACCCCGCGCAGCCCCGGCGGCCCGAGCCGCTCCCGCTCGTTGTTACCGTTACGTGCGGATGGGGTCAAGGCATCCCCCGGCACAGCCGCTGGGGAAGGGGCTCCGGGGCAGGGTGGCCGCTGACCCAGGCTGCAGCAGGGGCAGAACGGGTGCGGGTGCCCGATGCCGGGGTGTTTGGGCTGGTTTAGAGCCCTCGTGGGGGCCCGGTGACAGCTCCCTGCCCCGACAGGGGACACGTGGAGGCGTTACCTCCCAAGGGTGTGGAGCCAAAGGGGAACCAAGTGGTTCTAGAAGCATCAAGAGAATCCAGACCGCCCAGCTCCAGGCAGTGCTCTGACCCCAAGGAGCGTACCTAAATACTTGCAACAACCAAACAACCCTTTCTCTGCCCTTCTCTTTACACCGATTGTGTTGCAGGCTCAGGTCTGACAGTGGTGGTGCCGAGCGCTCGGTTGCCTATCACAGCCCGTCCCCCATTAGAAATAAGGAAAGGACTACGGAGCGCGGTCTGTCTTCTTAAATAAAGGAAGAACATTTAGGAAGCAGTAAGAATTACATTGACCCTCTGCTAATTATTCTTATTTACACCAATTAACATTAGTCGCTGCCATCTGGAGTCGAGCAGGCGAGTGCTACGCGAAGTACGCCCAGAGGAAGATGCCGGCGCACACGCACAGGAGCAGGTTGATGTTGAGGACGTGCTTCACCAGCGGCTTCTCCTCTAGGCAAGCCCCGGGGAGCGGCTCGGGTTTGACCGGTGCCGTGTTCTCGGTGCTGGGCTGCTTGCGCTCCATCCCGCAGAGCCACAGGAGGGTGGTGAGCAGCTTGGAGTCCCCTCTGCTGTTAGTGGGACCTGGGGAGACAGCCAGCAGTGAGGGGTGAATCGCGCCAGCAGAACACATCCCAGTGCTGCTGTGCAAAGGGGTTTGATGCTGAAACGCACCAGTGTTCTTTAAACGCATACGCTAGCTACGCTGAGGTGTAGGGAGCCCTTCTGTTAACACCTTTGGGGGCTGCAGGACCAGTTTTCCTCTTCCCTGGAGCACTGAGCTGAAGTTCTATTCCCAGCATCATAAGAAACGGTAAGAGGAGCCTAAGCCTAAAAGCTGAGCTGTGGCTGCTCGGTGCCCAGCGGCTTCAGCACCCGATGAGGGGTTACTCCACACGTGTAAAGCGGGTTTCCCCAGCAATGGTGTGGGTTAGGACGTGCGTGACTAAAAGCTGGGGAGACAGCGCTCGTGCCCCACAGGCGTGAGGCTCCCCAGCACCAGGGCTCAGTAACTCACTCATCTCCCCAACAGCTTTTTCTAGATCAGAGGAACCGGCAGCGAAAGCTGCAGCTACATCAACAGTGTCCCGAGCCTGGCAGCACCAGGGGATGGTGCTCAGCGCTGGAAGAGGCGCAGCGAGTTGCTACACGTGTTTGTACCTAATACCGACAAGTACAAGTTTTAAACACTGCAAATCCTCCTTCACTGATCTGTCAAGCTCTCCGCCCAGGCCTCTGCGGTCTCCCTGCTGCTAGAGGCGAGCAGAAACCACCACTGCAAAACAGAAATGGAACGCCATGAAAAGAGCTCTGCTTGGCCTCCACCCTCCCCTTCGCCAGCCGCTCCTCCTGGCAGCGCCCGCAGCTAGCGCAGGGCACCGGGCATGGCTTTCTGTGTCCCATCAGCTCCTCCTTCATTCCAAGCATATGTAATGGCAGCAAGAGATGGAAGAGAAACTAAAGTGCTGCTGAGGTAAAACTGTCACTTTCAGCATGCCCTGAGGTGACTGAACGCAGAGGAAGGGGTTTAACGTTTCTTGTCTTCAAAGCCTTTACACAGTGCCTGGGGTTAAGGGTAGGTGTTACTGGGCACGACGTTGGAGCACTTACATTTATTATCATCTGAACTATTCTCAGAAGCAATGCTTATATCCAGCTGGAGAGCTGGGCGCTCAGCTTCACACACTCCTTTGGCAGCATCAGGGGAAGGGCTGACTGCTAGGTCTGTCTTGGCTGGTAGATCCCCACGTGTGAACCAGGTAAGCCGACTTATCTGATGGCATGAAGAGCGGTGTTAAAGGAAACTGCTTTGTGGTTGCTTAAAGGACTGCCTCAGCAGCAGAGCCTGTAGAGAGAATACTTAGAGGGGCCAAACCCTGTTCTCCTGCTCGGCTGGGGCAGGGGAACAGCCAAGCGCTCCCTTGGTTAACTACAGAAGTGGTGGCTACCATCAGCGTGGTGGGTTTAGTTGGGTCTGGAACACGACAGTTGGCTGCACAGCTACTCTCTGGAGGATGCTGTTGTTCTGTCTTTAACCAAGGAGGAGGCATTTCTGCACGGGACCATCACTGGATGCAGACTGAGAGCGGGTCAGTGAGCAAAACGAACGGGTATTGTGGCCAGAGAGGAATGACTCAAAAGAACTGGGGTTGTTGGGAGAAGACGGGCGGGAGTTAGGGTAATTTTCTTCAGGTATATAAAAGACTCATGAAAGAGGGAAGCTCTCAATGTCAAGGACAGGGTAATGGAACAGAGGAGCACAATGGGAAGCTGGAAAGGTTCAGGTTGGAGATGAGTTAAAGCTGCTGCTGGGAGGGAGGTGGAATCTCGAGCTGACCACGCGCCTCCGTGGGCATTCTCCCTCTCAGAGGAGGTTCAGAAAGGTGCCAGGTTAGTGCTGTCTCCGAGCAAGAGGATGCGTTGGCCCTTTGGTTTCTGGCCCTCCTTCCTCCTACTGATGGCTCTCTGTAGCCTCATTCTATCTACTGAAAGCAGTCGAACTGGCACAAACCTGTTCCAGGGGAAGTTTCTCTCTGCCCTTGAGTTCTCTTTTCCTGTGAGTAAAAAGGCTTCCTCACTAAATTAGTAAGAGAGTTGATAAAGATGACCCAGAAGCTGGAATTTCTTGGGAAAGAGAGGGAAAAAAGCTAATTTGTCATGGTTAAACACACATGTTTGAGCTTAAGAGCAGCTCTTTGTAGCATCTACTGTTGACCAGTTTCCAAGGTGGGACTCTGGATTTATGGGACCTAAGTGGCAGCAGGGTGCTGGAGCAGAGGAGGGGTCGTTGTTAGAGGTTATGGCAAGTGTGATTGTCAGTACTGAACGGAACCTTGCATTTCTGGGTTATTTATCCCCACGGGATTCCATATCCATGGATGTAGCGTGGGGCATGCAGGAAACTGTTAACAGATAACACAAGAACCCCGACGGGTGACGCACCATTGCCTCCGAGGGGGGCTCTGTGAGCAGGCTCACGACCAGCACGGTCAGCGTGGAGACGGTGGCCAGGACCATGGAGAAGTAGAGGTAGTGCATGTACTTCACCACGCCCGGGCGCAGGTCGCTCTCTCCGCACCGGGGCTCTGGGTAGATGAAGTCCAGCACCAGCCGGATGCCGCCCAGCAGCAGCCCGATCACCAGGCCCCAGAACGCGCCCTGGGAGAGGAAGGATCTGCTTTACTGGAGCAAGGAGCACGGATCCACGAGGACCCGGCCTCGTTCTTGGCACACGGGCTGAGCTGAGGCTGCCTTTTCCGAGGGTCTTTTCCTTCCTTCTCTGCTCTTGCTACCTGGGTCTGCCGGTGGTGCTTCAGGAGCCTGGTACCTCTCTGTGGGCTCAGGTGGGTCATTAGTTTTGCTGTGGAGGGGAAGGATAACGTCCTCTATGCCAGGAGACTCTCAAGACTGGTGTTTATATCCTAATGGTTGCCTTAACTGCGGGGCTGACAGCTGCTCTCTGCCTGACCAAAGCCTGGTTTGGGAAGACTTTACCCTTTGCCCAGCCCCGGTCTTTATGGAGAAACTGGAGCCTTAGGACTCCTGGTGCCGTTTGGTCTGGCTCCTTCACTCTCTGGGCTCGCTGTGCCTTCTCTAGTCCATGTAACAAACAAGCCAACGGCTAACGAGCCCCTAAGAGGCTTCAGGAGGTGCGAAGGACATGCTGCAGCGGAGCAATGCAGTCACCTCACTCCTCAAGTGCCAGTGGGGTCTTGGAAAGCAGCAGCAGTCGCTCCCTGCTGTAGCGGAGATGGATGTCTGGGGGGAGGGCTGGGTGTCTTCCTTTCCCCAGCAGGAGGTGGGTTTGAGTTCTAAAGGACTCCTGTGAGGGCAGTGAGGCCACAGGGACAGCGGAGCTGTTACCTTTTCATTTGCTCTTTTCCAGAAGCAGCCCAGGATGAACACCATCGCCACGGGGGGCTGCAGGTAGGAGCTGATGGACTGGATGTAGATGAAGAGCTGCCCTCCCTGGCCGGCCTGAACCAGAGGGATCCACAGGATGGAGACCACGGTGAGCAGCAGCACAAAGACCCTGGGCAAGAGAAAGGTGCCATTAGGCTTAGCTCAGGCTGTGCTTTTCCGATTGCTCAGCATGCAAGGGTCCAGCTGAGACCTCTGGTAACCCCCCCACCAAGCGTGGTCAGCATGAAGCTACTACATGTGTATAGGGGCAGCGGGCCCTGGGGTGTGCCCAGGTGTGTCCCTGATGCTGAGGCTCTGCTATAACACTCATGTTGTAGCTCTCTGTACCTGCCAACAATCATGAGCTCCCACTCGGAGCACCGAGGACGGAAGTGCTTCCAGAGGTCCATGGTGAAGATGGTGCTGGCACTGTTGAAGATGGAAGTCAGGGAGGACATGAGAGCTGCGATCATCACCGACATCATCAGGCCCCTGAGTCCTGGGGACAGAAGGAGAAGTTCAGCAGCCCTGAGGAGTCCCCAGTGACCCCCTTGGGGTGTCCTCGAATTCTTCTTTCAGCTAGAACAGACCTGAAATCTGGGTTTAGCCCCAGTTTTAAATGGCAGTGACAGGGAGGAGTTAGCGTTGATTGTTATCATTAAACCCTGGGCTTTATCTCCTATCCAGGTTGGACTGAATTGGAGCTCTGGGTGCTGGATCATCACCCATCTCCCATTGCATCCTGCCCCTTGCCCCTGTCCCACCAAGCCCAACAAAACCCCCACTGAAGTTACAGCTGTGGGGTATGTTCCTCTCC